TTTACTGGGGGTGCGTTTATAGCGCTATGGCTCAGGTTGGACTGGGACTCCTGAACGGGAGAACTGCGACCAGACTGCGACGAAGCAAAGACTTCTACCGGTCGTAGGGGTGGTGTGCCGTGCACAACTGCAAAGAAAGGTACATTATCTAAGTTAATGTAGTTTGGTAATTTGTGACAAAGGAGATTCTCGAAGCCGTCTGCAAGTGCAAAATCCTCGGGATACGAATGAAACTTGGGATAAGAATTAAAGCTGTGAAAACAAGGCGGTTCTCCAAACGCGCGCCTCGCCTGCTTTTACGATTATCTTTAAAGAGTGACCTTTGACCTTGGTGTGTAACCTTTGACATCATTATCATATGAAGGTTCCTATGTTGCATCTATAATTCAAATTTGGCTCCAGATGCACTTCTACTTTGTTAATGAGACCAATTTTACGAACGTTTAACCAAAATAAAACATACATACTACATACATAGACAGACACAGTGATTGCATAGTCTCTTTCCTAAACAAAGTCCAGGTGAGACAAAATGCTCTGCAATTGAACGGACGAGATTCGTACTCCGTCACAACGTTAATAATCAAGTGTTTCAATGCAAACTTGGCCTTCAGCATTAACAATTGGCGCACTAATGCGCGCCAGGTTTCTCAAAATCATCAATGTTCATTATGGCTGGCAACCGGCAGTATGGTTATACAGAATTAAATACATCCGTTCGGCGACCACGCGAAGAACCAATGCGCATGATCTCGAAAATGTCTTCACCCTTCGGGTAAGAAGATGCTCATGGACAGTATTCACAAGGGAGCCATTTTGCTCATGTTGCCTGAATGTAGTTGATAAATTTTGCACTGTTGAATGGGATGGTGCCAGACTATTTAAGCATTCTGGCCTCACTTTCAATTTCTGTTTAAATGTAGTTTAAAATATTAGGATATGTTTAATCACAAATTTAAATTATTCATCAGAGCCGTCTGGTATTAATTTGTAATTAACTTTAGGTCATAGTTTTCATTTCTCGTCGCAAGTTCCAAACATGAAGAGTTTACCTCCCTTTCAATTTAATATGTCCGACTCTTGAACAAGGCGCATGGGACCTTAGTGCACATGTGATACACTGTTGCCGTTGCTTTTAAAATGAAATCTTCATCTTCTTTACACCTTCCAAATAACAATGTTAAAAGTGTCAAGAACGAAAGCAGCTCTGCAGAAATGTGCCACAACCACAGTGTAATATTAAGAAAATATTTCACATACTACATCAGCATACATGAACATTTTGGGGGGCTGTCCTAAGGTGGGGAAATCTTGAACCTTTGTTGCATCACGAGAGGGCGCTTCTTTTTTCTCTGAAAGATGACATTTTAACTCATGTTTAATTAAGGGAATAAATGTGTGCTCGAGAGGTTTTTATCACTCTGTTTAATACCGCTTAGAGTCTGGGTGCTGATAATTACCCGAGCCGGAGGCGAGGGTAATTATCAGCACCCAGACTCTAAGCGGTATTAAACAGAGTGATAAATACCGACCGAGCACATATGTATTCCCATTCATAAATACCTTATCCGTAAAAAAATATCAAATAATTCGTTCACAAAATCCCAATTTTGTTCAACAAGTTCACTTCATGCTTTTTGAAACATCCCTCTAGCAAAATAATGGAGTGTTCTGCTGGCGATTAAGATGTAAACAACCCTTTATGGAGATTGACGCGCGCGTAGCATGTTCTGCGCGATGTCACGCAGAACGCACCTGGGGCGTTGCGTTTTGAATTTAGAACTATAAAATTCTGACTCGCATGTAGTGTTGCGCATGCCTACGTGAGGATTGTGAACGTTCAACCAATGAAACGGTAAGAGGCACTGGATTTTTAGGAGTCCACATTTTGTTGTGACACTGGAAAAGTGTTTAAGACCAGCTAGCCATGTCTTTATCATCCGTTTAAGACCGGCCACGTGACGGGCTCTCGACCAATAGGAATAGCTAAACTGTCTGAGGTATTTATGAATAAAGTTTACGACCCATGCTCCACGCCGTATTTTGATTTTTATCCTGAAACGATTTGTCCATTTGTGAGTTTTGGTTAAACGGAAAAAAAATTCCCTTTTTTTCCTCTGGAAATACGCTAAACGTGCTGCGAGAGTGGGATACGAAATCGCAGATACCTAGATTGAGAAGTAACTATTAACTTTTCAGGATGAACTAATTACTAAAATACGTCATTGTAGAAACGTAGGCAGTATTATGCACTTAAAGCATTGGATATTTGTGACAAATAGGTCGATGATTGAATTGCAATGTCACTTTGTGTGTTGTGTGTAAGGTATGTGTAGAAATGTACATTAGTTGTGTAACATTCAACGGTGATCAAATTGACCGGGTCAGTCCCTTGGCCTGCATGGCAGCACTATTTGTTAGCAAAGCACTCATGCTGGGGGGGGGGGGGGGTGAGGGGAATGGTTAATTAGTGCTGAAATGTTGACAGAGGGCCCCCTGCGGGTCAAAAGAAAGGGTGGTCATTTGCTGGGTACAATTTTGACGCAATACTATTGGGTAAGACATTAGACGTCGTTGGTGGGTAAACGTTTTACGCAGGGATGGAGTACAATTCGACGCAACCCCTGTTGCGTAGCGTTTTACCCCGCAAACGACCATGTTCCTTTTTTGCCGCCACAAAGAGTACAATTTTTACAAAACGGTGGGTCCACTAGCAATTCAAATTGGTATTGTAAAATAACCATTGATTTTTTTTCTGCTTCATTACACAGTAAAATAACTTGAATTGCTATAGGAAAACATATTTAACTATCTCAATATTTCTACTAACAGGGAATGTTTTTAAAGAACTTATGTATGTATGCGTTACACGGGGTATGCTTTTGAGTCGGTTAAGAAGAAGTAAAATATAATCATAAACATTTTACACCGATCTGCAAACTTGAAACAAAACAGATTTTCCTTCTCTCGTATTTTTGCAAATATTTTTGAATACAACTGGAGAAAAGGGCTTAAACTCGGACAGCATTGTTCTAAAATGTCGTCATTGTTATTCCAAATCAAATAAATCCAAGCCGACCATCCATTTGTATCCAATGCACTAATAAAAAACAAGGTTGTAATAGTTTTAAAATGAATAGAAGCCTCCAAAATGTACGAAAGTATTATTAACCAAAACCAAAAAAATATACAAAGTGAATGCGAAAAGCACTAATAAAACGTTGAGAAAGTTACAATTGTTAAAATACCCTCATTAAGTCCAATAATCTCAGAAGCATTATAAAAAGAACAATAGCTTAAAATCCATTTATCTCTATACTAGCACCCTATTAGTCATACATCGAAAAATAAAATCGAATTGTAGATATTAAAAAAAAATAATCCAAATATAACAGTAGTATAAAATATACAACTAGTAAAAACAATGCTATACTGGTTGGAATGTGTATACTTATAAGCACAGGGGACCTCATATTGGGAAAATGGCAAGCGATGCTTTTTTTTTCCTCTTATAAAACAAAATTTAGATACACATTTTAGAATGTGACAATTTTGATCTAAAAAATGTAACAGACTCCGACATACAGCACCGACAATCTTTATCTGTCACATCCCTCTTCGTGGTGGGAACAAAAAGTTACGTTTGCCCAAATAGCGAAACAAAACAGTTATTGTTTCTCTCAAATCTCAAAATACTGTGCTAAGTTCAACTTTCCCTTGACCTAGCCAGGTAATCGTTATTCCCTGGTTTATGCTTTCCTTGTTATGCTAAATTGTTAATTAATCAATTTGTCAATTCTGCAGACCACATTTTGTATTACTTCAACATTAATTTCTAGTTCCTTGCTTCATTGTTATTTAAACTGTTTCTTTTGATTCGTCTTTCATGTTCATGATGTTTCCTCCATGTCTTTTGTTGTTGTTAGTGGCGGCGGCGGCGGCGGCGGCGGTGGTGGTGGTGGTGGTGGTGGTGGTAGTGGTGGTGAATTATGATTAATGAATAAAAGACATGAATTAAACGAATAATACTTATTATAATATAAATTTAAAAATTAATGTGGCCTGACGTTGCGAACTTAGCAAGTTCTTCTTCAGAGGCTAAAACAACTAATAATAATAATCTACACTCCATTTTAAAATAATAATAATCTACACTCCATTTTAAAACGGAATATTTGCTCCGGATTAATTTCTGAATAATCTGCTTATTAAAATCCGACAGTCTCAAGACATTTGCAGGCTGTTCGTGTCACTAGAAAAAAAATCCAATCTTTATCCTGAGCAGTTGGTCTGAAAACAAATACAATTTGTTAAAGACAGTTGGTAAAAAGTTCTGCCGAATGGCATTGCCTATTTGCGTAATACATAGCAATTCTTGAACATGAAACATGAACAGTATTAAAATGTTTTAGTAAACAAGGCATTAAAGTAACACGACGAGGAAATTCCATCAAAATCGATGTACAGGAAGAATTCGTTACTTTATGATAGGTTGTCATTTGAACAAAGTGACGAAAAATACAATCTCTGGCAGATGTAACAAAATATCACCCCTAAATACTGCGGCTAATGCAATAGCGCCCGTTTGGGATTTGTAGACTTTGTTACATTGTACTAGTGTGTTACCTCCCGAGTGAAAGTTGGAAAAAATCACTCGGGTGGGACTCGAACCCACGACCTCCTGCTTTCTAGTGCAGATGTCTTACCATTCGACCACCGAGCTAACGGGATCGGTTGGCTGGTTCGAATCTGATGTACATAGCAGCGGGTACCGCATAAACTGTTATAAGATGGAATTTTGCGTCGGGGTGATATAAATGAAATTAGGTTTTGCCCGGCAAAATTCCATTTTATAATAGTTTATGCGGTACCCGCTGCTATGTACATCAGACTCGAACCAGCCAACCGATCCCGTTAGCTCGGTGGCCGAGTGGTAAGTCATCTGCACTAGAAAGCAGGAGGTCGTGGGTTCGAGTCCCACCCGAGTGATTTTTTCCAACTTTCATTCGGGAGGTAACACACTGAGTATACAGTGTTTAAACGTCGGTGAATCATACTAGAAAGCAAAATACCTCATACCCATGGTTTTAAAACAAGATTTCATCAACAAACGATATATAATATTGCCACATAGCCAGATTGCCCACAATTAAACAGTATCTTGCACACTTCGTTTAAGAAGCATTAACGATGACGGACCACAGTCTTTCGAAATAGTGAGATTCCTCCGGGTTATTGTGATCGTTCACAAACGTTATGGCCTTCTGGTAAAAGGTCAGCGGGCGCCGAAGCAGATTTTCTCTGGTGGCAGAAAAGCAACTGGTTAAACACCTTTGCACTGCGGGAGGAGGTTGGGTACCAAACAAGATCTTGTAGAATTCGCCCACGGTCATGCTCGCGGCTCGCATTTTGCCAGTGTTAAATTGCTGAAGCCATTTACCGATATGTTGTATGCGACCCCAGTTGGAATATCTGCCGCTCTGCTTGCAGAAGATGTTCCTCTTGGCATTGATGAAGAATTGTTTTGGATCAGCAAAGCAAAAGGCTTTATCGGGATCGGACCCGTGCCCTTGCAAAAAGACTGTAACGTCAGCGAGATTGTCGTAATTCTCTATGATGTGATACAGATAGGTATGAGACTCTCGCCCGACGTTCGGTAACCTTTCCCATTTGTACATGTCAAATGGTGGACCTCGGTCGAATCCCTTATTGTACACGTGGCCAGATTGTTTTGCGTACGGTTTCAGCCAATCCAGCGGCTCGTTGAAGTGGGAGACAACGATCTCGAACGCTAACGGCCGACGCCCGGGCTTGGTGTTGCCGGAACCATTTGAGTCGTAATTTTCCGTTTTTTGCGGAACGTTGCCGGCGTACGCCGGTCCCGTTTTCTCACGTGGCTCGTTATCTCCCGTTTGTTGCGGAACGTTGCCGGCGTGCGCCTGTCCCGGTTCCTGACGTGCCTCGTAATTTCCCGTATCTTGCCGAACGTTGCCAGCTTGCACCGTTCCCGGTTTCTCACGTGCCTCGTAATTTCCCGTTTCTTGCCGAACGTTGCCAGCTTGCGCCGGTCCCGGTTTCTCACGAGGCTCGTTCGCGTCGTCATTGATTCTGGGCGCTTGGTTCGCAGCTGTCGAAAAGATAAAGAGATAAATGTGAATGAATGGTCACGGTTTTTCCTAATCGATTTCTCTCGCTGTACATCGCTGACAGCTTTTGTATGTGTTGTAGTTCACACACTTTGCTGTTGATTTCTGAAAAGAGAGTACAAACGAAGGAAAAATTCTAAATTTGAAAAACGGTGTCGAACGTCATTCACATTTATGTCTTTTTACAATAAGCAAAACAATATATGAACAGTTCTATTTATTAATATGTAAAGGAAAAGAACCTTTATACTTATTTATTCAAAGCCTCGTGTGCCATTTTCCAATGTGTTTTAATGCGGCAGGACGACCCTGTTTGGACACGTCTTATATTTTATCCTCTTATACAGCAGATGACCCTGTTCTGTCCACTTGGATTGCAATTGAAGATTTTTAAGAAAGACGACCATTCCCCCTTCGAGGGAAAGAATACGTAAACAAGCTCGATCGGATCTCGGAAGCTGCAGGCCAACGAATTCGTGTTCATGCATGAGTCACGTGATTTTGACATGTAATTTCTGGAAGTAGTGTTTTGAGTTTAAATAAAACCAGATTTTTGACCCCGGTGACCCATAATGACCTTTGACTCCAGTATGGTCATGTGACACGTTGGGGCTGGGCTACTGATCATTTTGACAAATTTTGCTTAAAAATCAGTCAAAATATACGAGCAATAGACAATGTCAGCGTTTGTTACTAACTATAACGAACTAACGGAGAGACATGATGATTTAATGAGCTGCTATCCCACAGCGAAAAATAATTACAATGTTGCCAACTAACTTTTGTAAGTACATTATCATAAAACCTGCTCCAACAGGACTAATGCATATTAATTATAGTAGCCCAGAGTCGTTCAAAATAATGAGCCTCTTCTGGGTTGCTGTGGTCATTGACAAACGTGATGGCCTTCTGGTATAAACTCAGCGGGTGACGTCTCAGATTTTCTCTGGAGCCCGAAAAGCAGCCTGCGTAACAACACGGCACTGCTAGAGGGGGTCGGGTACCAAACAAGGCCGTGTAGAATTCGCCCACTGACGTCTTTGCTTTTCGCATTTGGCCCGCGTTCAATTCTGCCAGCCATTTGCCGATGTGGTGTATTCGTCCCCAGCCACCATAAGTACCCTGTTTTTTGCAGAAGATGTTCCTCTTTGCGTTCGCGACGAAGTCCATGGGAGAGTAACACCAGCTGTGGTCTTTGCTGGTTCCGTGCCCTTGCAGAAAAACCGTCACATCGGCGAGATGGTCGTAATTATTTATGATGTGGTGTAGGTAGGTGTGGGCCTCTCGCCCAACGTTTGGCAACTTTTCCCATTTGTACATCTCAAAGGGAGGACCTCTCTCCGAACCCTTGTTGTACACGTGACCGTGCATCGCGTACGGTTTCAACCAATCTAGTGGCTCGTTATATTGAGAGACTACAATCTCGTACTCCAGCGTCTGACGTCCGGGTTTCACGGCGACTCTCTTCGGGGCGACGGTAATTGGCTTGATGATTGTCTTCCCAGGGCCTCCTACTGTGATGTTAACCGGAGATGTGTTTACAGCTGGAATTACAGCTGGGGTTTCCTTTGACCTACCAGAGAAAATGTGTGAGGGGGAAGCGTTTTGTACGTCGGGAACAGCGTTCGGCCTGGGCTGATCTGCCTTTGACGGGTACTGCCTTGGGTCCTGCCGAACGTTGCCTGATTGCGCTGGTCGTGGGGTCCTTTGGGGACCGTTTACAGTTGGGTTTGCATTATTTTCCTTTGACTTACCAGAGAAAATGCGTGAGGGGGAAGCGTTTTGTATGTCGGGAACAGCGTTCGGCCTGGGCTGATCTAGCGTTGACGGGTACTGCCTTGGGTCCTGCCGAACGTTGCCTGATTGCGCCGGTCGTTGGATCTTTCGGGGACCGTTCGCGTTAACAATTTTTCCTGGCGAACGGTGTTCGACTGTCAAAAAGATAAGACGGGAAGGAATCGTATGACTACTTTATTTACTCTCTGGGTCGATACACCTAGGATTGCTTCATGCACAGTTTATAATAAAACCTGACCTGTTTAGTAAAGAGAACAAAAGACACAAATGAATAAACCTTTTGACAGACGATGGATTTATTGCACATTAAATTTCTCTTGTCCAGAATAATTTCACCGTAACATAAGCTCGCTTTTTTCAACTTTGGAGTATTGCTGGTTTTTCAAACTGTACGTTCCAATATGGAAGGTGTTCATGGGAAACCAGGTCATGGTTTCCGATTTAGTACGGCAGATAGGCGATGGGATTGTGCCTTTAATAATACAAGCATGGAATTGGCACACAGTCAGTGTATGTGATAATAAATATATTTGGCTATAGGGCCATCGAAGATTTGTCCTTGAAGAAAAAGTAGGTAGCATAACAAGCAATGGCAGCCATTTTGAAAATTGTTTGTTATTCTTCCTATATTTTTTTTGAAGGACTAATCTGCGATGGTAATTAGCCAAATATCTTTAGTAAGACATACTCTGACTGTATGCCAAATGGCATGTTTGTATCATCAAAGGCACCATTCCCCCAATATATTTCCCCTATCTGCCCCACTAATTCGCCATATTTTTTAGCAAATGAGGGCGCTTTTCTCTGTTCCAACAACTCTTTAAAAATAAACAATTTAGCAACTTAACTTCAATTTGGAAAATGAGGATTGTAAAAAGGTAATTTGAATTATGTCAATAACCTACGAATCACGTGTGATTGTATCCAAAAATATCCTCGTTAATAAGTCATCATTCGTTCAAGAATTCGGCATATTGGAGACTTATCAGACTGTCGAGATTAAGCGGAGGGTAGAGGGCAGCAGACAACGTCCTCAGTATACATGCATGACTTGCTACCTGAGAAATTTTAGGAAAGATATTTCAAAGTACACCGGGTGTTGAAATTGTGTTGAGTACACAAGATTGCAGTCGTAACATATAATCCATAGAACAGTATCCTAAAGACTAATGCAAATTTAAGATTTTTTTTTTTTGGTCTCTTAATTGTTATTTTTGGCATTTTTATACGAATCCCCCAACAACCTGAATTTCAAAAGTATCACATCAAAGGCTAGTTCCAAAGTTAATCAACTGCCGAGAACTTTCAAAGAGATTTGGCAAAATGGTTTATTAGAACGTATTACTTTAGCTGCGAAGATCAAATCAAGTTAAATTTATTCGAAGGTAATTAAATTAAAATCATTTATCTTATCAAAGATAACATCTTTTATATGGTCACGTTATATTATACACGACAAATAAACTCATTTAAAATAAAAATCCGTTAGCTATGGACGGGTAATACCAACTATAGATTAATAAAAACCACACATATATTTATCAATTCAAAAGACCAACTCGAAGACTTTTTTTCTAAAGACTAATGTTTCTTTACGATGGTAGCCCACAACCGTTCAAAATAGTGTGCTTCCTCCGGGTTGGTGTCATTTGGCATCAACGAAAGGCCCCTCTGGTAAAAACTCAGCGGCCGCTTGCAAAGATTCTCCCTCAGAGCGGAGAAACATCCCGACCAACACATCGGCACGGATTTAGGATGTTCCTCGCCAAACAAGGCACTGTAGAAATCGGCAAACGTCAGGTTCGCTAGTCGCAGCTTCCCTGCCCTGACTTCCTGGAGGTATTTACCATTGTGCTTTATGCGGCCCCAGTTGGCGTAGCTTTTGTGTTGGCAACAGAAGTCATTTCTCATCGCCTTCTCGAGGAATTCCTCAACATCGGCAAAACAGTCTTTTGTCTGGGGCCCGTGGCCTTGCAGAAAAACAGTGACGTTGGCGAGATTGTCATAATAGTTTACGATGTGGTGGAGGTAGGTGTGGGCCTCTCGGCCCGTGTTGGGTAGCCTTTCCCATTTTTTCATATCAAACGGGGCACTTGTGTTCGATCCCTTGTGGTACACGTGACCGGCTCGTTTTGCGTACGGTCTCAACCAATCAAGTGGCTCGTTGTAGTGAGCGACGACGATCTCGTAATCGAGCGTCTGCGTAAGAGGTGTCATGGTGACGATTTGAGGTGAGGTGGTTTTGCGAAGAACAGGCTTTGCAGCAGTTTTGTGAACAGCATTTGACACTGTCGGTGTTTGGAGAACGACTTTTAACGTGAATCCGAATTTGGGTCGTAGTTGACGGTAAGGAACTGTGAATACAAACACAAACATAAAGCATAAGAAAGAACAGCATAAGAAAGAACAGCAATACGAGCATTCGTACTGCTTCAAAGAAAGTCACATGTATAGGGCCAATTTGAATATGGCGATATCCGTTCCGTTCACAAGCAACCCCTCACCGGCAAAGGAAGTACAGTTGGGGTTGACCGACCGACGCCATCTTGCCTGACTGCAATTCATTTGCCGAGAAGCGTGTCTGTGTATATGGAGATCAATGGTGTAAATAGAACAAATCCCCTGGTGTACGTGCGTCACGTAACCTTCTGACTATCGAACCTTCGGACTATCGGGCTGTAACCCATTATGTTATACAGAAAGGTGAACAGACTAATCGCTTTAGTTTGCATACACATAGCAATACACAGACAGCTACAGTTCGTTTCTACAGCAGACAGAATCAAATTAGCAGTTTAGCATACATGGTGGTTTCTGTGTGAAGTCAAATACCTGCAAAGGACGTTTTTCTGCAACCAAATAGCCTGTATTCACTAAATCTAATGCGCATGCGTCAGAAGTCAATGGAAATGTTCTCGGGGTTCAATGAAGAGAAACATTTGGGTGAAAGGTGGAATCTTCATTCTGATTTTAAAAAACAAACACAGACAAAAGATCAATGAGGAATGATCTTAACCAGGGGCGTAAATCCCGGAGAGGGATGGGGGGGGGTGTTATATCCCTAGGCTTGTCTGGTCTGGTTTTCACAGCAATTAATGGATACATTAATCGGAAGAAAATAAAGCAGAATTAACTCTCATGCTGCACTTTCGCCAAAATGTTGTGCATTGTGTTAAGTTAGGGTACAGAGATGTGCACTTTACAAAAAAAGAGGTGGTTAGTTAGTTAGTTAATTAGTTAGTTGGTTAGTTGTGATTAGTTAGTTTTAGTCAAATCTCCAGTTGAGGTTCATATTTACCTAGTTCTTTTAGCAGGCTGATCATGCCGTTTGAAGCACTTGCGACACGTTTGTGCGCCCTCACACGACATATTTTGAACCGCTCACACTAGCAGGATGGTATTAAATAACGTGCGACAGTGCACTGTTACGAAATTTGGCTATTCAGCTGAGTCTCGAACGGACGGCTGGGACCAAGACTACGTGACCTTTGGAACGAACTACATGTACATGTATCAATAACGCGATGATTCAGAGCGCACAACAAAAACCCATTGTCACGTTGGCGTTGACTTTGCTGTCCCTTACCCGCAGATTTTGCCAACCACGGGTTGCTAAACTATGGAAGCCCAACACAGCAAAAATGAAGAACTGTCATTTACGATACACAAATAATATTTGATTGTTGAAAATACAGAACAATCAACGAACGCAACCAAATACATTGTGTACTCGGGACTTTTTCAGAAGAATATGTTGCCAAGCACAACTTCAATTTACGTCCTTGTGGCCGCAATAAAACGGAGCTCAACTTTTACAAACATTGAAAGGTTTATAAAACGGCCATGACCGGGAAATTCTAGCATGGCCTTCGTCTTTGTAAAACTCGGATAAACGAACTAAAGTGCGCGAAATAGACAACGGAACAACCCTATAACGACACTTGTTATCGGGAGGTTGAGGGTCCGGGAGTGTGTGAGGAATAGTAGTAGTGCGAGGTTAAAGTTTTAAACCCTTCCAATGTCGAATTATTTTATTGTAACACATTACGTTGCCGTTTATTATTACTCACAATTACAATTATAAGAGAGCAAAACGTGTAAGTTAAAAATGGGGGGGGGCCTTGATATAATGATGTTGTGTATTCATTTTTGCCCCACCTCCCGTGCAGTCATAAAGCCGTGACAGAACCGCGATTGTTAGTGTGTCTCTGTATTTGTTGAGTTGTCATTTCGGTTTTGTTTTGCCAAGGCATCTCCATATAAGATGCCTTCATAATTGCCTAGGCTACTGAATTGTTTTCCTTTCTTTTTTATCTTTATGAACTACATGCATAATCTTAATAATATTATGTATGACTTTATTACATTGTTTTATAACTGAACTGAACTGAACTGAACTGAACTGAACTGAACTGAACGGAACTAAACTGAACTGAACTGAACTGAATATCGCTTGACCGGGTTTTCAAAATATCGCATCATTCTAGGTTGCTTCAAGGGTCACAAACCATGACATTTTCGAGTTACATCCCGAAAAGATATATTTTCTTTCTTTTTATCTATAAATGTGTCTTATAAAAACGCGATTTTTCTTTTCTTTCCTTTTTCGAGAGGGGGTTTGGTTGTACTTCATAATTTTACCTGACTCCATTTATTTGACATTGTACTTTCATAACTGCATGCAGGTAGGGCCACAATCATCCAAGCATGGAAGATTAACAACAGCAAAACATCTGCCGGCTAGCATTACTTATCAATGCATCAATAATGATGCAAATTAGAAGCTGGATTAGGCCTATCCATATGTTCTGACATCACTTTGCACAGCACGGGCTATCAGGTATTACACTAACATTGTTTCTGACGAATGAATGTTGATGTGCTGTACGTCTGCATTGTTATGATAATGAAGAACGCCACAGTATTTGTTCCTGTCTGTAAGCATTTTGTTCATCTTTAGATTGATTATTTCGGTGTTTTGTAAACGCCAAATCAATGTTGTCGCTTTCAGCGGCTTGATATATTTCAAATGTTTTATATCGTGTTGTCCATAGAATAGGTTTTTCTTGTTTTTATTTAGCAGAAAAACTTCACTTCGTTTATTATTCTTTCCTGAGACACAAAGCTCAAAATTATATTTCCTCTGGTATAAAGCACCACAATTGGTTTTGTTTATTTTAATATCAGCTGACCTTCAGCACTCCATTCTTAAATTGTATTGTAATTTAAATGATAAATTAAATTATTTAAATTAATTTATTTTATTCTGGTAATAAAAGACCATGTTTTGTGAGGAGTGCGTCCCACAAATCCATCATCGAATTATATTACTTCTATTTCAATATGTGCGGGTTGTTTGTTCCACGCACTATTGCATGGTTAATTGATTGTTGGTATATTTTCCGAGGGATTTACATTATTTTTAATAATTATCATCTCCTTAAAGATATGTACTTGTAAAAGCATCCACTATTCCGTGTTATTTTATGGTTAAATGATGCATTTTTTTTCAATTCCTCTTTTATATAAGCAAATTTGAAAAGAAACTCAAATTGCACAGTATGTGGAACATGTGGAAGAATAATCGGCTCCCTCCATTGAATGTAAAGAATACAGTATAAGACCTTTGAACTTTTAGTCCATTTTGTTCATAGTGTGTTTTCAAGGTACGCTCTTTTGCCATGAAAAAGAGGCAATATTCTGTTATTATAACACAAGCTACATGCGTACTTGTGTATGACGACGACCTAGTATTTCGGAGTGTCGAATTCAAGGCAAAACAATTCTAACATATGCTAGAGTCGTTGCATGTCAGCCTTTACTGTGTAGGCCTAATATAGATTTGAATATTTAACACTCTTTCTGTTCCGTGTTCTAGCATAGTCTATTTGCATTCCAGTTACGGTAACCTAAATATGATGCATCTTTGCGTACAGCTGATGCTACAGATGTAGGTGTATTGTGTTCAAAATCGTTAAGATTTGTTTTATGCTCAACCAAACTAAACAGCAGTGGCTTACAAGCCATGATATGCATTCCACACACACTTAAAAAAAAAACACATCTTTATGAACAGTGGGTAAATGCAAGGTCGATATTATTTCGTGAAACGGAGCATGCAGCTGTTGCACAGGCTATAACTTTACTGGTCCTAGCACAAAAGAAGGACCTAATAAGTTACTCATTTTAACAGTTCGTTCTCTAACAGGTACAAGACTGACTAAATGTAATGCCGAAGAAAAATCTGGTTCAAAAAAAACTAACAAAACGACTAGCCTTTTGTTTCTAATGACGTATTACTCTTTATTTTGAAAATGTCATTAGAATTATAAAACCAAAGATACTATATCCGATTCCTTTTTTTACAAAACTGACAACACAAAGACTTTGAATCGGAAGCAATCGTACACAGGGTGATTAAAAAAAAAAGAGAACCGAAACCCCCCAAATTATATTTTATATTTTAAAAAGTCATACGCTACTTTTAGGTGAAAAAAAAATACTGACATTAATCAATCTGTTCGAGAATATCAACATTTAAACACAATGACCCTAAAACCTCTTTCGTCCAATAATGCGATTCCAAGAATCGGCGTCACAATTGTCTTCCATTTACAGTTCAATATACACAACAAAGTCCTTTTGAAAGCCCGTCTTTTCAAAAAAAGGGGCTCAAATGAATCATTTTTGTTTACCTAACCAGGGTTGTTAATAAAAGTATTGTGCACTGCAGTTGTTGACAGTTGTTGAAAACAGTACTTTGTGTCATCTTCTTGCTGTTCGATACAGTAAAAATACACAAGAATTTTGGGACGAAACAAGTTTTAGGGTCATTGTGTTTAAATGGTGATATTCTTCGAATGGATTGAGCAATTTCAGTATTTTATTTTTCATCTAAAAGTAGCTTATGAAATTGGCTAACCAGTCAATAATATTGTTGGTGCTACATATTTTTTTTAAATATGAAATAAAATGTTTGGGGTTGGGTTCCGTTTTTTTTTGCTTAAAAGATCCTACGTGTCTGATGTCTATCTGTGTGATGTCTCTGTGTGCGCAAGCACAAACTGCAAGGCTTAATGAAGAGGCTTGTTGTTGTATGATGTTCCTTAGATGGTGTATATGCTCCGATTTCACTGTCCTCTGAAGGCACGATTGGCACGTGAAGGAAAATCATTTATTTGTTCTGTTTCAGGCTTTGAATGGTTAAACATTACAACATCATCTCTATAAAAACACTTCCAAATGTATCACTATTATGCAAAACATATCGTTGACGAAAAAAATCGCAAAATTGCTTCACCAGGTTCACCACGCCCACGAGGGGGTCAACATGCAAGTTGAGATCAAAGAAAAAAAACTTAGTACATGACGACTCCACCTACAACACGTTTTTAAAACAGCGGTGGACCACACGTTAACCGCTGTGTTTGTCGCAGTGGCGTATCCAGCTCTGATGTTGGGGGTTGGAGGGGGCAAACTGCACTTGCACATCCTAGCCTAAATAGACAAGGTTTTTCTCTCTCTCCATGTCCTCCGTAAAATAAAAAGGCAAGAGGAGAGCATCTTCAAAATGGGGGCGCTCTTCAAAACTGACCATTTATATGCATACCGGAAAATACACACCGATTTTCACGGCGCATTGTTATGGTTCTGGAGCCCCCCCCCCCCCCACTCTTCCCTTCCCCCATACATACGCCACTATTTCGTCGTTGTAATCGGAACTGCTCTGTTATTTCCGCCTAATAAATGTAATAGCTAAATGATATATGAATCAATAATATCTATCGAAACATGAAGACGATAGGGTTTTAATACAGCTAATGCTATATACTGTACAAGGACGCTTGTTGCTGTTTTAATTGTCTGTCGCTAATCGGTGACACATAAGGCACCATGTGTTGCGTTTTCTACTAAAACGCATGAAACGTGAGTTGAGATCTGTAAAACATCAAGGTGGTCAACTACTTTTGTCAGATGCTACCAGCTTAGTTTTATTTTCTTATCAGTGTATTTGTTCCTGGTACAATTTTTTTCAATTCGAACCCGATTTTTGCGAAGCTGACAATACCCATCTGATATTGTTTCTGGTTGACGCCCCCGTTTGAAGTACATGATTCGGGGCTGAATTAAAAAGCTGTGGGCCAACAAATTCGTGTTCATACATGAATGACGTGTTTGTGCCATGTTGGGCTGCTGTCTGCAGCTCGAAACGGCAGCATTGTGTTCCCGATCAGTTGTGTTTAGCAGTCTTACAAAGCGAGAGGTGTTATGTACGAAAAGAAACGATAATATCGCAGACTGAGGTCATGGCCATGCACCTGCATTTGAATAAGAATGAATTTTCGGCGATATTGTGTTACTGGTCTTCCATGCGTATTATTTCTGTGAGTTCATACGTCTGACTTTTGCACCGCATAGGTTTGCTTATGAATGGCGGCGAACAGACATGTACGCGGGTCTCGCCACGTATACGAGTGTATTTTTGTATGTGCAATAAAAAACGGTTTGCCCTGCGTTTATGGTAATTTATATGATTACAATTCTCGTTTATGCACACCCGTATAGTTAGCATTTCAAATTGTACATTTGCAGTGCAAATCTATGCATTGACAGCTGACTTAGCATTTCCAATTTATCCACTGCATAATCCCTTGCTTGTTATCATTAATAAGACCAGCCGGTGTTTTTTTTCTCTCTCTCTCTTCATTTTAATGAAATATCATGCACTTCCGAAAGGATCATGTATTATCTACTATAAACTTCCGTGTATCTAGGCCTACAAGTTTGTAATTATTTGTATAAGACAACAGACAACTGATATCCAGGGCAGAATGGCCTATTGGTCGTATTTGGTACTCTATTAATACCTGCACTTTGACCAAAACTGGCTCTGTCTAAACTCATCAACACTAATTTCCAAAAACTAAATTTGTGTGAAAGTTGGCACTGAGTTATACCGTGTGTACAACCCGATTTATTAGGAAGAGTGCATGTGTCGCTGTATTAATGGTACAGAAAACATATACATGTGAACTCCATGCCTTGCACGGATGTGTGGTGATACATGAGAAGGATATGGTATGCCGTACATTAAAGGTAGGCATATCCACTATTGGTCGTTCAACAATGAACCAGCTTGATTTCTATCTGCAGTTTTAATTTCGTTGTTGAATAGCAGTGCTTGGGGGGGGGAGGGGAGGGGAGGGGTCTTCAAGGTAACTTTGCGCTCATGTCCATAGAATAATCGCTGTTGGACTACGTACAGTAAATGGAGCATATGGGGTTCTCAATAAGTATTAAAATAATTAAGTCCTTAAATATCAGGGTGTTTTATTGAAGTAAACAATCTACTTTGCAATCAATGATTGTCATGGTATAATTATTGTAATCCACAGTGCAATTGAGCATTTTGGCTACTATGGAGATGGAAAATAAACCAAACCAGTAATAATAATAACGAAATAAGAAGTGGTCCAGATATTTGTTGCCTTCACTGATATTAAAAAAAAAAAATCCAGTTGCTTTGTCCACAAGATAGAGGGCAATTACAAAGACGTACACCATCGGCATTGTGAGCTGTATAAATTTAACCTGTTTATAATATATTTCTGTCCTCAACCCCAAAAGCCTGGAGTGAAGGGAACAAACTGCCAAACAAACTGGGCTTCTTCCCTACGTCCATTGTATAAACTACGTTTTATTTTCTTCTTCTTCTTCTTCTTCTTTTTTTTTTTGGGGGGGGGTGGGGTGGGATCCGCCGAACCCAACCCAACCCAACCAAACCAAAACCACGTAAAATTCGTATTGAATTTGGTTTCGGAATTCCATTTTGTTCGTTCCAGAACATGATAAATCACACACGGAATTCGAAAGTAAAAAGAACTGCATCCGGGATAATGGAGAAACGTATGTAGGCCTATAGGTTGATATCGCAGCATGAATGCCAGTGGCAACAACTGGACAAACCACAAAACGACCGTCTTACCACGGTAACGTGAGATTTAAGAGTATAGGCCTATATATTTACACTCACCAATTGCTGATTGGACGGGCGATCGGTGACCCATCAGATAGCCCACAGCGAATGCGATGCTGATCAGGAGCGGTATGAAACACGCTCGAGAACCGGCGAGACGACGATACTCGTTGGTCATGGCTACAGAATGTTGTCACTAGTCTCTTTATGAGCATGTATTATAAGTCTACAACAGGATGATGCCCATTTGGTTTGGCGGCCCGCCTCTTATACTACAGTGCTGGTTCGTGTGCTGTGTTCACACGTCTAGCGCTTGTGCAGTTGTACTTTGATCGCTTGCAATTGTTAATTTCCCGTGTATACCATCGCGCGCTATTTATAGGTTGACCTCGGGGCATGCGTCATGATGAACTCAGGCACGTGGGGAAATCATTGCAAGGCGACGGTGGCCGCGAATGAGCATTATTGCTAGTACAAACATCTTTCGCTATTATACCGATGCATCCGGGCACGTGACCAGTTGTACACCCCAAGGCCCTTAAATGGCGAAAGCATTGTGCTAGCTATTCTGCAAAGCAACAAAGTGAAAGCATATGTCCAGATCGGTCTATAGTATGACGTGACAGTCATTTATATTTATTTATTACATTTCTTTTACCCAGGGTATGCCTAAACAGTTCAAAACTGGATTCCAATGGGGCCCTGCATTCAATGAAAAATGACTACAAACAGGTATATAAATGCAATACATTACAAACACAATAAAATAAATGAAATACCGTTAATGTTATTTATTTCGGTGTTCAATTGTACTTCTATTTTGTTGCTTTTCAGCGATTTGTTAAGTATTGACACAGCAGCCCTCTTCAGACAAGGTGTTCAAAACAGACTTTTTGGGCCGCTTCAATGTCATTCAATATAATGCAAAATTTTGTTACATATATATTTATCATTACAGACCTATAAATAGTCAACCTGAATCCACGTGTGCATGATACAGGGTTTTTTACCCTAAGCTTCGGATTCATCACTGTATCTAAACTTCTTTGTAAGACTTAAGTTCAAAACAAAAAAGGACAAACCATGGTTGTTTCGTAGAATTTAGGGCAGGGAGTTATAAAACCAGGATCACTTAAGTGAGGCGCCAAAAAGGCCAAGATTGGAAATCTGATTTTGGTAAGATCTGTTGCCTAACTGCGGATCCAGAGCAAAGTTTTCATGGAAGGAGCACAGTAGAGCTAACGCAATGCATGTTCTTCCGAGACTGACGGGTTCTTATTTTTAATTCAGTATCAATTAATGCTCCATAGTGTATCATGCCCATACTCACAAACAAAAAAATGCTGTCCTCTTCTACTCCACCTTTTCATACATTTTTTTTTTTAGTTTCCAATAATAACACCACTCAGTTTCCAAAGAAACATGTTCAAAGCTAATTAGGCTGTTGAAGCTTTAACTTAGTGGATATTACTTTACGAGAAAATGAAAATACACGAACAACCTTTTGATCGCGAACCCCGATTTTGTCTATAGCAGTCTTCGTCATCCAAAGGAAATCAGGCAATTGACTGATCGTTGAATCTTTCACCTTCATTTCTTTATTTCTTCTCAATGACAGCAAGCCAGACGGAAAAATTTCATGGGATGTCAGTACATGTACAATCCTTAATCCGGGTAAGCTTTTGATGACAATTCAGTAATTTATTTGGGGGATAACTGCAAAAGATCTCATATGCCTTTGGTCGCATTACGTCTATCAGAAGGAGTGAGGGCTTAAATTATGTAGGCGAGACGTTCAATTTTGGGCTCTTCACAATTTGGTATACGATCACAATTTCCAGCCTCTAAACCTGCTCTCAGCTACAAATCGCCGACGATCAGTGTCTGCATCACCTACTGCCTACTTGGATCAGATCGTCATCAGGGACAAAATGCCGAGAGAAAGGGGCCGGTCAGAAATCAAGAGATCCGTGTTGGTAGCCCGTGTCTGCTCCCCAGACTCCTAGCATGCCCATTCTGCAGCCGGCTGAGCTAGGAGCCAGTCTTTCCGGGCGTTTCGTCAAGGCCAATGACCTCGACCCCCAATGCTGATGATACCGATGAATTCCAACGCTTTGTCAGAAAAGCGCTTACCGATCTCCACCGAGGTCAAGCTGACATCAACAAGGGCATCACCCTGATGGAGTGTAACATCAATGTTTCGATCAAATTCGAAAGCCGGCGAATTTCCGATCTTGAGAAGAAGGTGAAGGAGCTGGAGAAATTGTGCCAACATGTCAGTACAATAGATCAACAGCTGGCTGACCACAATGAAATGCTTAACAAACTCGAACGCTTCAGCAGACGTAACAGTGTCAGAGTGATTGGCTTTCCACAAGAGCAAGATAAAGACTTCCTAAGCCAGACTTAGAATCTTCTTCGAGACAAGTTTGGTCTGACTGACGTTAAGATTGAACTAGCCCATCGTGACGGCCCAAACATTCCTTTTTAGCCCCAACATCTCCTTTTCAAATGGAACTGCCACCAGAATAAGCTTGACATCTTGCGGCACCAACGACAGGCCCTATCAGAGGAGGCCTGCTTCTGCGTAAAGGACCCGACCAGACAAGATCTCCAGGAGAAGCGCAGACGGAAGGCTGAAGTAAGCAAGGCATACCGTTTCTATGCTGGTAAATGGCGTGGTCATGGATGAGCTCCAGCAGTCTTTCCCCGACAATAACTGCCCTTTGTCTAATCATCGTATGATTTGACATCTAACAATGTTCTCACCGATCTGCATTCCACACAATGCATGTTTGTAGTATTATCTTAATAACACATATTCTTTGTTGATTTAAGTCGCTTATGTTTCCATTGATCTATTTATATATTTAGTCCCTTATAATGTCATTTTTGCTTGTGATTCATCTTTATTAGGTTTTGGCGTGTTTTTCTTTTCACTTTGTGGACTGTGCAGTTGCTTCACACTTATGCGCCTATCAAATGTTTCCCCCACCCCCCCCACCCCCCCCCCCCACCCCGCGCTACCCCAGGTCCGATGTTGGGATTTGGTCACGTTTGTCATGCCCCAGGGTGGGGATTTTGGTCACTCAAATTACATTGTTAACATTGGCGTATACTAATGGAAAGGCAATCACTAGTGCGCCCCACGTATGTAAGTCGGGGCATGGTCGGGGATTGTCACTTAAATTTTGCCCGAGGGGTGGGGATTTTGTCACTTCAAAAGTGACAATCCCCAAGTCTCGGGTGGGGCAGCCCGGGAGGGGAGGGGTGGGGGAAACAATTGATAGGCGCATTAATATCAGTTCTATTTATCCTCTGGCCTTCGAATTTACTTTTGTTGATTTTACATAGCTGTTTACTTCTGAGCTTATTGTTTTTGTTGTTTCGTTCATGGCTGGCTTATGTTTGTTTTTCCACTTTCACTTAGTGAAAGCGTATGAGCTCGATCCATTTGACCACATTTCTTTGTATTACATAGTGTTTTTTGGTTTTGGGGTTTTTTTTTTCTTATTATTGCATTCCCTCGTATATTAATTTAATTGTTCACTGGTCTGTGTGATTCGTTTGTGTATTTTGCTTGAATGTTTAACCAAAATAGTGCTTGTGATCTGTTTAATGTTAATGAAGATGGCATTTTGGTAGATAATGGCAATTGCTCGTATTATGATACTGATGGTTTTAATCAGTTAAGCAACACACCGGGTGATTTTTCTATTTTCTACTTAAACAACATCCAGGAATCTCTGTAATTTTTTTTGATGTTCAGGATTACCTTTGTCCTCTAATATCTTCTTTCTCTATGTATGGCTTCATCTTGTTCACTCATCACGGTGTAACCGAGTAGGGGAGGAGTTGCCTCCAGTGACTGCCTGATCTTCATCAAAAGAGACGATCTCATATCTCGTGAGGATTTTTGTATGTGTGTTTATTGAGATCCAGCGTAACTGTACTTGTAATCTTGTCTTTGGTAATGTTTACAAAGCTCCTGGCGCATCCCCAGAAAATTTTCTCCATTTATGTGATACTTGCCTCAACAAGATCACAAATAATAAGAAGCTGTGTTATATAATGGGCGACTCCAATCTTGACTTTAACAATTATTCTATTTCATTAGCCTACAGAGGATTTTTTGAATACTTCTTAGGCCTACGGTCTTCGTCCATTGATAGATAAACACACCCGCAAGCTCCACTCTTATTGATAATATCCTTGCTAACAATAAACACCAATATTCCTGCCTCAGGTATACTTTATGCTGATATCTCTGCCCATCTTCCCCTTTTTCAGATTACTTCTGGCTGTTTCCAAGGTCATCATCCTTCACAAACTACTTTAAATCGCAAGGGACATCTGCAGCGCTACACTCTCAGCTTTCAAAGCTGACATTGAGTGTACGCAGACTGGGGTGAAGTCTACGATTGCACCGATGCGGAGACCGCATATGACATCTTTCTCAATCAGTTTACTGCTCTATACAATCGCCATTTCCCACTTGTAACAAAAGCTGTTGGTAAAAGCAAGAGGAATCCGATGTCCCGGTTAATAAGTCCTGTAAATTCAAACGCAAGCTGTACAAACGCTTCTTGCGTAATCCTACAATGGCAGAGACACAAAAGATCCCGTAATCGTCTCACTGCACTCAAGTCATTATGATGGCAAAGAAAAACCACTACACCAGCAGATTCACCAATGCAAAGAAAGACGTCAAAATCACATTGCGTGAGATCAATAACATCTTGGGCTAGAAAAAGTAGGATGATCTTGCTAATAATTTCCGCAGTGCTAATCAGTATATCTCTAATTCGTCCGATGTTGCTGCCAACTTCAATTCTTACTTTTCTGGTATCGGATCAACACTGGCCAGATAGATTCCTTCCACCGATGCTCGCTTTACATATTATCTGCATGATAGAAATACCTCTTCTCTTTTTCTTACTCCCACCGATCCTTTTGAAAAACTCTGAAGTTGTTCATGAACTTAATACTGCTAGTTGTGGGTTTGAAGCTATCCATTCTTCGGTACATGTAGTTAAATCCTGCATTCCCTTCATCTCTAATCCTCTTGCGCACATTTTCTACTTGTCTTACCTTACTGGTTTTGTTCCTTCTTATCTGAAGAAAGCAAAGGTAACTCCAGTTTTTAAAACCGGTGACCGCCGTGACTTTTCCAATATTATCGGCCTATCTCTGTCCTTCCATGCTTCTCAAAAATACTGGAAAAGCTTGTCTATAAGCGACTTTCTAAGTTTCTCTCCAAATATCATCTTCTTTATGATCAACAATTTGGCTTTCGGAACAAGTATTCCACAGATATGGCGCTTGTCCATCATGTTGATTACCTCTATAA